CCTTATTCCCGAATGCGCCACCTGCAGTTCTGTGTTCAGCTTGTTCAGCCTCAATTGAATCCTTCCGCCCAATTCGCATACTTACCGTAGATAACGGCGAGCAACGCGCATGTCGTCATCTCAGATTCGGCCGGAATTATCGTACGGCAGCGGAGGACGTTCTGGACATTCTGGAAATTCTGCCAATTCGAGCGTATCCGCTCTATCGCCCATTACCATATTGACCCCGACCTCGGCCACTACACTGTACGCCTCTCCCGATTCCGCCACCCAGTCGTACTTCGGTGCCAAGTCAGAACCCGAAGATGGCGACGGCGCGAGCAGCGGAGGCAGTGTTACCGCAACTCCGGCATTTGCCGAACCGACCAGGAAGAAGCAAAAGCGCAACAAACCGACGCTGTCGTGTCACGAATGCGTCGAGCGGAAAACGAAGGCAAGTGCACGCGATTCTAACCCCCAAAAATTGCACATTTGCGAAATGAGTTTTCTAGCATCGTGGTCTACGCTCAGCCAGCGTCGGACCAGTCAATCATTTACAGTTGCGTCACTATCATGTAGCACTATGAGAGCATGTGCTCACTAAATCGTTCGAAGCTCTCCTTTTAGTTTACTTGGTTATCCTTCGTGAGGGGAAAGGAAATCATGATGGACGATTGAAACCTGTACTTACGCTGTCGATTCGTGCCGTTTTGCAAGAGAAGGATAAGCAACAACGCCACCAATGCCGAGTCTCGCCTCGAGTAACAATGTCTTGAACAGCATGCACTGAGTCGAATCGAAACACCGTGATTTTGAATAACTTTCTGCATTTGTTCGACTGCTATGATTTTACTACATTAACAACTACTGACACATCCGATCTCGAGTTTAGTGCGATAGGGGAAGACCTCATTGTTTAGCATGTAAGTTTGTCCCCTTTTCAATCATATGTTGCTCAGTCAGTTGCTTACGAGCTCACTTTAGGTATAAAACGACAAACGGAATGCAAGTATGCGCATGTAGCAAATCTCCTAGAGTAAGTTCCTACAGTTCAGAGAGGACTATTTACAAAGTAGCAGCGCGACTAACCCCTTGCCAGGGAGACATCACGATCGGCCACCAATGGCCGTAGGATGACGAAACCGCCGAGAAAGAAAGTAACGATGAGTGGGATGAAACCTTCAATTCCGAATATAGCAGACAGAGGTATTCTCACCGGCCGGATAGCTTCTCGTGGGTCCGTCGCACTATCCACAGGGCTCCTCTCTAACGTGTCTTTATCCCACCCAACAGCATCCAATGTCTTTGGGGTAGGTTCAGAACATCCTTTTGCGAATTACTGGACTTGTGAGGGCGGGCTCCCCGAAGTCATCGGGGTCCTGCCCGAGAAGTTACAAGCCGATATCTTGTTAAACCAGTACTATGAATGTGTGGATCCGGTCTACCCAATAATCGACCGCAACACCTTCTATCTTGAGTACGAACACTTCTGGTCCCTCAGAGATTCTGAAAAGACAGACGCGGCCTTTGTGGGCCTGCTATTCACCATGATGGCCCTGGGGACCCAGTTCGTGTCGACAACAAACCCTAAGGACCGCAAACAGACCTCCGAATTCTATGCCTCAGCAGGCAATCAGGCGTTACGCATGTCTTCCTACCTGAATACCGCATCTTTGCGGTCCGTTCAAGCTATGGTACTGGTTGGCTACTTTTTGATAAACGACAATCACGCCTCAGATGGATGGGCCTTTTCGGGTTTACTACGTACGTATCCCCAAAACCAACCTTCCAGCCTCGTTTTCGGGGACATGCTCTCCTTGAGAGCCGATCTGCGAAGCCTCACGCTCATCAAACAGTGCGCGCATCACGCCAAAATTCATACCAGCACATAGCACAAAAGGACAAATGCTAATTATAGCTGTTATAGTGAGACAAGCTTATGCAATGGGTCTCCACAGGGATCCAAACATAGGTAGGCTATGGCTGCTGACAGTTAAACGTTAGCCGGAGATGCTGACGCAAGACATCTACTAGTACTACCAAATGCAAGTGAATTTGAGAAGCAGCAGCGGCGCAAGCTATGGCAAGCTGTTCTCGTTCAGGATACCTTCCTGACAGTTCTACTTTCATTGCCCCCTAATGCTACGCATACCGACGTTAACGTCGATGATTTCATGGACTCCACACCTGGCTTTGGTGACTCAAATCCCACAGATGTGGCGTATATACGAGGTTCCTGGATGCTGGCCAACCTGGTTCAGGAAACCATTTCCAGCCCTAGGTCCTTGGACGTGCCCATCTGTTCTACCCAACGACAGAAGTCAAAACTCGTCGCCGACTTCCGCGCAGTGTATCGTTCATTTCCTGACGTCTTTCGGTCGTGGGACCCGGAAAGCATCGCCCAACTTGCCTGCAGCAACAAGCGTGTTGTGAGGCAGACTCTATTCTTAAGTAGCAATTACTACCACAACCTCATGCTGGTCCATGCCTCCGAAAGCCCAGACGTGCCCGTTAACGTGAGGGCGACGCTAGAGGCTGCACACGAAGCAATTACCTCTTTCTTCGTATTATTCACTCTTTTCGACTCCGAAGCTCGTGTATGGTGGGTCTTTCACCACAGGGCTTTCTTAGAAGCCTTGTGTATAGGGAGCGTTCTACGCGAGGCCGGAAGGGACCCCGCTACCGCGGACCAATTCTTAAGGGATCCGCTGTTTGCAAGAGCGAAGGCGGATATAAGTACGTCTCTTTCTTCGAATACTCTCACCCAATTCCCATCATTCAGGTACTGACTGGTTGGTAGCTCGTATGGTCCAAATTCTGAAAATAATGGCCGATGGTGAACAAGGAACCGACGACGCCAGGACAAGAGTGGCAGTCCTAAGTGAATTTCTGTAGATTACGACCATTTACGAAGCGTTGATTTTTATATATATTGTATATAGGCCTGTGTACATTGTCAAACCACTATACCCGATATATCGGGACTATTTAGGGACGGAAAAGGGTTCTTAGGTATATATGGTATTTGTTACATATGAAGTTATGGATACGGAAGTGAGGCTGGAAAGATATCTTGGAATATTAAGATTCATATCTGTCTATAGTCGTAGGTACGATATCTATTCGAAATATGCTGTTTTTACGGGTCGTGGGGTGCTGGTGGTCTTAGTGGGGACTGATTCTGAAGGTTACAAAGGACTTAGAATTTCTATTGAAACAGGTTGAACTCAAAGTGTCAAATTTTATCGCATTCCTCGTCATATATAATAAGCCTATAGTTCGAATAATCCAAAAACGACGAATAAGACTTGATAGGGGGGCCAGAGCGAATGCAAACAGTTTCTAGTAGGAGTTAGGCGTTAATAGCTACTTCCTCACTACAGTAGTAAGACACCGATGAGGCTTATCCTGCAATATAACCTAGGTGAAGCGTTATTTGTATAAGGTTCCTTGGCAAATAAGCAATGATGTAATTCGTCCCGGTCGCTCAATATGCGAGCGTGGACACTAAGCATCCTTCGGGATGCTCTCTTTTACTTACGAGATGATCGACGGAAGGCCGGTGCTTTAGTTAATCAAGCGGACGTCCACCTTCCTTAGACGCCATATCCCTTTTCTAAGACCTATAACAAGAAATACAGACAGTGGAAAGTTGAAGAAGCGGTTGAGGTATTAGTAAGACCAAATATTTACGCCTGGTCCCACGAGAACTGTTAAGTCGGAGCACGTGGTCACATTGCTCGATCTCGTTAACTCAGACATGCTCTGTGAAATAATAAAAAGGGCGCGATAGTACTAGGGGCCCGGGGGAGCTGTAGTTGCACGGGGGCTCTGGAGTTTTCGATGGCTTTTCAGCTACTTTCATCTCACTTATATTGTCGTGTTTCCCCTTATATTAGAAGCAAGGCAATCTTCATACGTTTTCAACATTGAATCTTGAACTCAGAATCGAGTATCCTTATTCTCCCCATCCAATTTTCAAGGGGTCATCACTCCTCACTATCCGCTCCAGCTCAAGTGCTTCCTAAGAACTTGTCCTCGATGTCTTCGTGTCATGAAGATAATACGATGTGCCACGCAATAATAAGGCTGAGAAATCAACTAAAATCATGCCTCTGGTACTGGCAGTGTATTGAAAATACTCCATGGGAATTCAGGCCTAATTTATTAATGGTTAGCGGAAGCTTTCGAAATGAAAGCAATGAAACCTTTTCAAGTTGCTTGCACTTTAAATTCTATCGATTGTCAATATTTATTCAAATAACAACGAACGTACATCTCGGTTAAAGTTATTACTAGTAATCCGTAAAGACTCCCAATCTGGTACGGGATATGATGGTCCATGGGACTGTTTTACTTCACGAATACCTCTCGATATTACAATACGAAACACTATTGGGCGACCATGACCGGGAACAATATTCAAAGATGAATTCTTTTATAATACTTGTGTCTTAGCACACGTCTCGCCTTATAAACGAAGAAAATATTATTACCAATAAGCGATGGTAAAATCACCCTCCACCCGCTTTGAGAAGATATGAAAACATGACAAAGTAGAGACGCTATTAAGATTTGTAGAGAAAAGCGTGCCTTATAAGATAATGATTGCATCAACTGATTAACACATTATCACGCGGGCTCGATACATTACTAAAACATCTGTTTCTTTTCGTGATAGGCATGGATTTTGAAGGAGGCATACTCTATGACTTAGCTAACGAGAACTTCATGACGGTACACTTCAACTAAAACGCTTAGGAATATTGATTGCCTTTCATATAATCAAAACGCTTAAGCTCGTATGCTGTCGAAAAGGGGGACTCAAAACTGAAAGTTGAAAGACTGGGGAGCGACAGTGAAGTTGTCGAAATCTTAATTCTCCAAAACGATAATAACCGAATAAATGAATAAGGACTTCATTTCCATACTGACTTCAGCCTAAAATTTTCAATTGGAAGAGCAACGTCGATCGCCTGACGCCCGCAGCCGAAACAAAAAGTAAGAATCTGCAAAAAAGAAGCCCAACGTGGGACTCGAACCCACAACCTTTGAGTTGAGACATCACATAGAAGCTCAACGCTCTGCCATTGAGCTAGCCGGGCTGCTAGTTTTTTGGTCATTAAATCTGCGCTATAACGTACCGTGCTTTGGTCCGGCCCCCAAAGCTGATCCGTGCGTGGCTGTGGTGGCGCGTGCTTTCAAAGGAACGCTCGGTCCCCTATTGTACGCCCTTGGCGCAAATACGCTTTTCAAAAGAGAGAATTCAACTGTTCGCAATACGTGAATTAATGTCTCAGGTTGCGTATATGGTATGACGACTCTTTTGCTTCTGTCATCGTTGGTCCGGGATTTTATGCACTGGAACGATAAATCATTGATGCATCGCAACATTAACGGTTCCCCCAGAATTGTAAAGTCTGATTTACTACGAGATAGATGGCTTGTAATTAGCTAGAACCAGAACTTCATATCGAAGTATCTTCGTCTATGGGTGTTAACGAACATTTTGTAGCTTTAACTATGTTGTTCGAGTACCTAAGTATATATAGCTGCCGACTATCTTAATTCAAGTAGCTCTTGTCTTGGAGTTAAAAGACTGGGATATTTACTTTGAAACTAATTTATTGCTTGTTGTTTGTTGTTTGAGCAAGCGGCACATTGCGGATGTGTTGAACTTTTGAAAAGTTATATTATATTGCCAGTTGGTCAACTGTTACTGGCCTGGGATCCATCCATACTACTGCGTACCTCCTAGGTAGTCGTTGATGATAATACATTGCCGGTAATATATTGACCAGAACCCGCGGCAGTACATATGTGACCTTGAGAACATCAAGTTGATAGGTAGGCATATAAAGAAGGAAACCTCTCGACTCTAAACCCTCATTGCGTGTTAGTCTCGTCGAGCCCTAGTATATGAGCCTAGAATTCCAAGATCGCCTTTTAACCTACCTACACGCACATAGCTACAAATATACGTGACTCGAATCATGAAGAAGAGCCGAGACATCCGGCGATTTAGAGGCCAGTCCGATAGACGTCAATATAACATAAATACGAGCGAAGGCCAGCCAATGTATCCCCCGACTCTTCATATGTGCTCATTTGGGCGCATGGGTGCCGAACCAACTGCATAATTCACATATACCCCCATCCGCCCGCCTATAAATCTTACGTTGGCCACCCCATCGTTCGGCACACGAGCCGAATTGGCTGGGCGTAGATAGCAAGTCGAGCGGCACTCATTACACCGCTCGGACCAGATCTCGGATTCGCTTAGGTCCTGGTGTGTGAACAATAATCGGGAGGCAGCTACGAATCGCGTCCTCCGAGCCCCCCATTTTACGACCGAGAACTGATTTCAGATCTTGGCGGGCCAGGTTAATTATTCGGAACCTGGCCGTCGCAGGTGCCGATTCGCGTGGTTGGATTGGATCGGTGGGTACTGGGGGAAGGAGAAGAAGGAGAAGCTTGCCACCAACAATTGTCACATCGGCCTGGGCATCTTCTGATTGATACAGCAGGAGATCCTGTCCCCTCCGTGCCGTAGGAGCAAGGCACAGTCTGGATTCGGGGTCTAGCAGACGGGAAGAACGGAAGGTGATTCTTGTGAGATATAGATACGCGCGTCGTGGTTATTAGTGTGGCTATGCCCAACCACCACGACTTGATCCTGACGAAATTACGGAGTGTCTTTTCAACTCCCACTTGGCCAGTCGAACGTTGTTCAGTAATCAGAAGAGCTCCTAGGATTAGAGTAATTCGTAGTTTGGAAGCACGTGAGCGAGACCGTGTTTCGGACCAGGCGAGCGTAAATGAACAAAGTGAGGCGTGCGGGAGCACAAATGCAACCCTGAAGCAACACTGACTCGGAGATAATGTCATCCGGGGGATAGGCCACGCAGACAGAATACACAATTCAGACGTTTCTCACGGCATCTTCCCGCATTAGTTACGTAAGTGCGCCAAGGCCTCTGCAAATCACTTTGCTTCCACCTTGCGGAACATAGCGGTGGTGTGTTGCGCTGCGTGAGATCAACCTCCTTGATATTATACGATCCGTAGCCGAACTTCGGTCAACGCCCAAACGGCCCGAATCGGCATGAGGGACAATTGCCGAGCCTTCTTTCCCTTATCCTATCCTCTCTTTCCTCAAATAGGGTGTGACGAGAATATCCTGTTTCATTGTTGGTGCTTCTTTTGATTCTCGTGCATATGTTGTGCATATCAATATGCAGCATGCCACATGAATTTGCGAAGAACTTACCACTGGCGCCTGAATCATTTCAACCCGAGCACGAGGGGATTATGCCCAAGACGCTGCTAGGTAAGTAGAAATATGAGGCTATGGCGTTAGATACTTTGTACTGATGAGGAACAGTTTTTTTTAACTCTTTATTTTTGGTAAGTTAGCTGTTAATCTGCGATGGTGGCCCAGAGCGAACGCAGCCAATCCAACATTATTGTAGGGTCCCTCCGGATGGCATTCGGGGGACGTATTGGTATATAGCCAGGTAGGTATGTATATACAGGTATAGTTTTTCTCATTCGGCCGTGGTTCCCGTAAAGTCGTGATAGGTGTATGCACCGTAGTAGATTGATTCCACATTGTATCCAAGATCCATTTAGCGTTGATATCAAGGGTCAAATGTCCATAGCTCTGCCATCCACACAACTCCAAACGCATATTAAAATTTTTGAATGTTCCAATATATGCTTTTGCCGCCTAGACTCCAGATTGAGAAAAGACAAAGAACGAATGAGACTCTGAAGGTCAACTGGTACAATCTCTAAATTTAGAGTCAAGTATCGCCTTCTGGTAGTACCCAGGTAAATCGTCATTGTCTGTATAAGCCAACTCCGTCGCGATGCCGCATTAGAGCAAAATCTGAGGTAGTATGATTGTATATGTATGTGCAAGACGAAGTCGGTAAATAGCCGTAGGTAGATTGTTTTAATGCGTGGGACGTATGGCAAGAGAAGGAAGCCCGTCACACTATGACGGATGTCCATCTGTTTGTCCCATCGGCTTGCTCGCCGGTTGAAAATCATCCATATCCTGAACCCCCTCATCCTCGACTTCTATAACGTCTTGCTTGGGAGGGCTCTTTGGGGGTGACGCGTTCATTACTCCCCTTCGCATTGTCGTCGGACGGAAACTTCGTGATTTGATCGGCGCCGGCGAGGGAGCGTTATCGGGATTTTCTGCGAGAGCACGCGCCAGTTCCTTATCGGCGGCCACCTTTGTCTGTGCAAGGCGTATCTTGATCTTGTCGATCTCGTCGCTGCAATCTCCATCTCGAAGGAATTGATGCGCCCCGTGTTCACACATCCCCTGGACGAATTCCAAGCTCTTATCCAGTTCTTCCCAGACATCGCGTCTGCCGTCCTGCAACGACCCTAACCCGCCATTAAGACCGCATTGAGATACTCGCATGCTCATCCTACCGGCCGCTAGGTTACGTGGCCCCATCCGTCGAGTGCTTATGTATTGCAATTTTGGGGGTTCCAGTTCATCAGGTTTGGATTCCGAGGCCGCTGGGTTGGGATCGGCAGCAATGAGGCTGTTACTAGGTTTCAGTTCACCACTGCCGCCGCCACCAACACCGTCATCATCGTCGTCATCGGGTATTTCGAGTTCAGCTAGGCGCCTAATATGGGCGACCTTGGCCGCCATCTTAGCCCTTCGCATGGAATTTCGCTGCATTGACACGAACTTGACCAACTCTTCAAAAAATGACTGTACGTAGCTGTCATAGTAGACAATGATCATGTTCCGTGATCTGTACCTCGAGACATTGTTCTCGTTGCTGACCATGGAATCTGTCTTTTGGCGTTTGCGAAGCGTTGCGCGCGCTCGTCGCTGTGCAGCTGCCATAACCTCGTTGGTCTGGCGTTGAAGCGAGGTCGTGGACCTCGGTTCGCTTACGGGACTCGAAGGCGCCTCGGCGCCATCCTGTTGCCGAGTATCATTTCGCGTCGGCGGAGGTGGTGTGGACGGGCGTGCAATATCATGCTGATGGACGGGAACGACGTCGTCTTTAGGTTTCAGAGACTCGGTTGAGCCCTGATTCCTCACGGATCTTGCAACGGATTTCGGTCGGTTCTCTGGCAACATTGCCAGATCCAGCTGGCGTTGCTCGATTTGGCCATTAAGCTCCTCGAGGCGCTTGAGCCAGTCAGGAATGTTGGTGATCAGGGCCTTCAACGAATCTACCGTCATTTTGACTTATAATGATGCTTTGTGTTGCTCGGGACTGAAGCTAGGATAAACTAAGCATTTGGGCGTACTTCAGCATATATCGTTCCTCGAAGTAGAGTCGTCGGCGGGGAGGTAAGCAAGATAGGCAAATAGCTAGGTGATTTAATCACTATGTTAGATGCCAATAGTCATGACGTTCAGTCAACAAAGAGTTCCAAGGTTGACATTTGACCGAGCCCATGCGCCGCCGGCAGCTGCAAACCTAGATGGACCAGACTCGACGCCGCAACCGCAATCTCTACGTTAATTAATAGGGCTTATTTTAGTACGTATGGAGTATGAAGTGTCTTAAAGTATTAGCCAATTAGAATGCTGGGTAGTCGGCGCAATATAAAAATTGTGAAGAACTTGATCAATTGCTCTTCGGATCAAAAGAATTGGGAAGTAATCCAGGGAATTCAGGCGGATATGGCGGGGAGGAGATATGGCAGTAATGGCAATGGTAATGATAATGGGCTGTGAGACGGGAAGGAATCGGATCGAGTGGAAACAGAGTTGATATTGAAGAATGGATTGTGAGGATTTGCAAGCCCCCAGGGCCTGCGTGTGGGGTTAAGCCATCAGATGCTGGTTGGCTCAAATGCTCCAAAAAGCTTCGGTATCAAGTTACGAAGTACTCTTGTCCACTTGTACCAAGACTGCGTTGGCGGGTGGCGGCAGGCAAAGTTCAATCTTGGCCGGTTGTAGCACTAGACTCACCTTGTAGAATGGATCGTACATGCCTACAAATATGTACATTAGCATAGTTTCGTAGAATTTAGATACTTTAGGCTAGCCCGGGTAGTACTTTCTGCGGATTCTGCTCCTACAGCACCCCTAATCGACCGGGTCTTCTCTAAT